GGTGCCAGCCCCAGGCCCACGGCACAAGGGGCTCGGGCGGCCCCGGCCCTGGCGTGCCCCAGGACGCGCGGCCCCGCCCCCGGCGCGTGAGTGGCCCCGCCCCCGGGAGCCCATAAAGGTTGGGGACCACTGGTCTAGACTGCGAGGATCTTTTTCTGATACTTTTGTCAGAAGAGAATATTCCGAAATTCTACTCATCTAGACTGGGCCAAATTTTGGGAAAATCCCCTTTCGAAAGTCCCCTTCTTCCTCATGGAACGAGGAGTACGGGGGCTTCTGAAAGAGCATGTTTGCTCTTTAGAAGAAGAAAAAAAAAAGTGCAAGAGTAAATGCTCCTGAATATGGCGGAGTTTTTTTGGGATACCAGAAGTATCCCAAACCCCACCCCCTCAGTCTAGCCATACCCAAATAGTCTAGTTAGTAGAACCTTACAGACTAACAAAACACAGAGATGATATCATGAGCTTTTGTGGGCAAAACCCACTTCTTCAGGTGCAAAAGTTTCAGACAGAAGTGTGATCTTAATTGTCTTCTATTCCCTTAAACAACATTCAGTACATCTGCAATCATGAGACTTGAAATAGACTCTGATAGATTTTCAAGGCTATAAAATTATTTAGTCTTACCTCCTGTAAAATAGTGACCTTAGAATTTCAGTTATTCCTCTACTAAACCAGTCAGTCATCGTTGGTGTACCATATCTATTTGAATTCTGTCTGGCTCATTATACCTCATCATCCCTTCATTACGTTTTAGTGCCATCAAGATGTTTCATTGTGAAGAATCAGCATTGGTGACAAAGAGCTTCAACTGCAGAATCCTGACTTCATTTGGGACAACCTACCATATCCACACTGCCTAATTATATATATTATCCTTCAATTCAAGCCTTTTAAGCATTAATATTAGTATTGCAACCTAAACTTTATTTTTTTCCTGACTTCAACATTATAACAGTTATGCTACAATTTACATCCATAAAAAGTCAGTAAGACAATGTGGAATGCTTTCTCCTAAAGCCAATTTTGTTTGGGATAGATTAAAGTCTGATAATTTCTAACCAAGCTTGCAGTCATTTGATTAAAAGAAGCAATTACATTTTCAGCCCTGACAGACATGTTCTTTGTGGTTACAAAGTTATCATAAGTATCCTTGGGCTAGCAGAGGCAGAAGTTTGGAAAGCAGCAAATTTAAGAGGTGAAAGGAGAGTATTCTCTTAGCTATCCTGTATTTTTTCTTAACCTGAAAACACCAAATGCACCACTAGAAAAGAGACAGAAGGACACTGGAACATTAAAATGTTTTGTATTTACAGGAAGTTAAAAGATTTTGACATTTAGAAGATTCTTTGTTGAACTGCTATACAAGAGGAACAAGCTGTAGATATTTTAACAGAAATAGTGGCTCCTGTCTATCTGCAACAACAGTTTCTCCACAGACATCTCTATTCAGATGCTATCAAAAAGAGTTTTGCATAGTGCTCTTAAGCACAAGTTTCAAGATTAGATATAATAAAACAAACAGCCAACAAGTGGTATTTGACTATGCTAACATCACATATCAATGATGCTATTTCCAAAGATAATTAGAGCATTTCAAAGATGCCACATGAAAAAGAACTCACAGGGGAACATTTAACTGGGTGATGTGTTAAAGAAAACATGTATTTTAAAATCTATCACCTATTTCATGATAATGGCATATAAGTCTCCATTAATCAGCCTTGAGCGTGTTTCATGCTGAGCTAAATTGAGGCTACAAAGCGTAACATATTTTATAAAAGAATTTAAAGAACAGGAGAATAAAAACATTCAACTTCACTTTATTCAGGGCCAACAATGCATTGGCTAATCCTAGCATCCTTCTCCCTCCATGTCGCTAAAGTCACTCTTGGTAAGACCAGTGACCTGTCAACAGTCAGGGCTACAGTTCCTTTCAAATGCAGCACATGGCACTAGTCGTCCTGTGACTTTCGATGAAAGTATGTGCAGATCTTCCTCATGGAAACTGAAGTTATTGTAGCCTAGAAGAGATTCAAGTCAAGCATAAAAAATTTGTATTTGACAGTAGATATCACCACCTACTTATTCTAAGTTTGACAGGGTCAAAGCAGAAGGCTATAAAAAGAAAAGTAGTGGAGGAGAGATATATAAGCCTCAGACTGAGGAGATCTGTTCCCAGGATGACTGGTAGGGGCTGGTTTAGAACCAGCAGAGGAAAATTGTGGTAGTGGTACACCTGGGGCTAACTGACCAGGCCTGAAGAGTCTGGCCAGCCTAGGCTAATTGAGTCACCTAGGGGTAATTAAGAAAACCAGTTCAGGCCGGCCATGAAAGAAGCTTTGCCTACAGTTGGGGTATGCATGTAGCTGAGAGGATGGAGGAAGATTCTGCTATGAGTAGGAGGAAAGGAGACAACCACTGAACACTAGGAGGATGAACCAGAGAGAAGGAAGGTATGGGGGGTGGGGAAGTAGCCCAAGGGTCTTGGAGCTGCAGGTCTCTGAGATTCACACAGGCAGATACTATTACAGGGTTGGAAACTGGAGTAGAGGGTGGGCCTGGGCTCCCACCAACACCCACCTCCCCATTTCCACTCGGGGAAAAGGACTGTGGAGTTTATTCTCAGCTTTACTATACACTGGCCAATGATGAAAAGAGCTCAAGAAACAGCAAACTAAGTCTTTTAAATTTCTCTCCAAAACTGCAACAGCTTGCTTACCCTGAGGAGATGCCAAGTAACCTACTATTAAGGGGGTAAACGTTATGTCCTTTGCAATAACTTGCATGGTTTCTAGGACATTCAGATGTTCTTTAGTGACAGGAAACATTTGCTAAAACCCTGAAGTTACTGTTTTGCTCTATGAGAAGCACCAGGGGCTCTAGTTTTTACTGAGAACCAGATACAGCATTTCTTAGATTTTAAGGGCACAGAGCGTCATGATCATCTATGGCCTGCTTTATGCAGGTCATACTAGATTTTCACTTGTATCAAGAACAATAACCTGTGGTAGAGCTAGAGGATGTTGCTTACATTCACTCATGAAAGGACTGAGCCTCTGAAGTACCATTACTGGATGGCCTGTATTGCTAGCAGTCTGAATGAGCCCACGTGCTGGTGCAAGACAAAACTTAAGTCACTGGGAAGGAATTCCACCATGATAAGCCAAAGCCATTATGACAGTTTGAAAGATAATTTGCAGCACAAATTATATTGTACCACCAGGTTTCAAATTTTAGTATAACTAAAGATTGTAATAATCATACCTCAGTTAGTATAAATCATACCTCAGTTAGCATAAATACAGCTCAGCAGTCTTCTGACTATGGGATTCCATGTCTATTGGTTCAATGAATCGGTTGGCATGTTAAGTTAAAATGATTGGCATGCAAGGCATTTTTTATGTTTATCTACAAACTCACCCAAGGACCGGCAAGTCAGGCTGGGTTCCTGCCCTCTTGCACAACACAAGGGAGTGTGAGTTCTAAAGGCAAATTCTACTTTCTGAAGTTGGACAACCCTTTTCTTTTCAGTGGGTCTTCCACAGATGTAGCAGAGGGTAGAATTTAGCCCCAGAATTGTAACAAACATAAATGCAGCTAATTTTCTCTAAAAGCTGGGTTGTGTCTGGAATGCAAGTAGGGCCCAATTTATGTCACTAAGGGTATGTCTACACTACCCCGCTAGTTCGAACTAGCGGGGTAATGTAGGCATACCGCACTTGCTAATGAAGCCCGGGATTTGAATTTCCCGGGCTTCATTAGCATAAGCGGGGAGCCGCCATTTTTAAATCCCCGCTG